GGGGGGGGGGGGAGAGGGGGAGAGGGAGATAGCCGCAGGGGAGGATGGGTCAGTACCTGATTGAGGTTGTCGTTGCATGTGCTGATTAGCGCTGGCTATCTGAACTCTGAATTTGTATAATATGAGTGTTCATTGAAGTTTCTAAGCTACGCTGATTTGTTGTCCATCTGTGGATTTGGTGTGAATCTTCGTGTGAGCTTTCACTGTGCATGTTGTGTGGAGGTTGAATCTGAGCGGATCGTTGCAGCGGAGTCTCAGAAAAAATTTTGCTTTCCTTCTCAGGGCATACTCACACTAGGACTTTCTGAACGTTTATGGCCATGAAAGTGGTCAGAAACATCCAGGAAAATCCATGTGCGAGTATGGCCACAGCGTTCTCAACTTCTCACAGATGACACCTAAACCCAAATCGTATGCCACACCGTTTCTGTTGTCCTCGACCCCAAATCGAGCTTGATTACAGCCTTTCTGTTCCACCCGAGAAAGCACACCGGTCACAATAAACAACAGAATCATGGTTCCTTCGCAGAAGTGGTTACAGGACACAAAAGGATACATGACAGGGTAGGTATAAAGCCGAAGCCGTGTCATGGCCCCCGTCATAAACATTATGTTGGGACGCTGGACCCGGTTTCCAGCAGGTGCAGCTCCCCACCAATAGACCGGAGCAATTAAACCTGGCTTGGATGCTCCTATCACGCCCCCCTAGCAACTCGGATCTGGTTTAAAAAAAAAAGAAAAACAAGAGAATCATGGGCCACTCAGAGCATACTCACACTAGGACTGACTTCTGAACAAAATTGCAGTCATATACATCCACATCTGTCTGTAATCGCAACCAGATACGTACATTTCAAGAAGTAGTAGAGTGTTGTCTGTAGAAGAGAACATAAACTGGAAACGAGCAGACAAACAGGTGGCTTGCACAAGAGTTCTTTCACTTGCAGTCTCTTAGGGCATAATACTCACACCTGGTATTTTTGGGAAACAACGTAAATTGCCATCAAGTATATCCTGGACTGGATGTCATTGAGGTCAGGTACATCCTGGAAAGTCGTAGTGTGCAGTGCGAGTACGCTTTGAGGCTCCTCTTCAATGTGGGAAAGCCCCTCGGTCTTCACCCGAATAGAACACCCGGTCATTATAGCTGTATGCGGACTGAAAATTGCACCAAATATGGCTATAATGACCGGGTGTTCTATTCGGGTCAAGAGGGTAGTGTGAATATGGTGAAGGCATAGTCTTTCCCTATCAGTAATGGTGGAATGACAGGCCGAGGTTCCGTATCTAGACTGAAAGTTGTCACATGTTACTTCTCCCCGAGATCTCAGACTGAGAAAGCAAAGGTAAAGGGTTCTTCATCACAATTTCTTTCGCTCGGGGAGATTAAACCCTTTGGCACACCCATGAACTGTTGAAACACAGACCCATGTTCAAATCTAGCTGCAACCAGATGAACAGAATAACATGAGTCTGAATTACCTGGGGGACAGTCAGTTCAATGATCGTATCTCAAGGCTGTCGCCTTTTTTTTTTTTTTTTACTTTGCAGACGACTTAGACAGGGAATGGTGTGCTGTTCAGGGGAAAAAAAAAAAGAAAAAAAAAAGAAAAGAACAGACTGAGGAAGCAAAGACCAAGGTTTCACAACAGACGGAGAGAGCGAATGCAAAGCGTTATAAGCACAGACTGAGTGGTCAAAACAGTGGCAAGGCCTGTGGCTCAACGGTTAGGGCACCGGTTGGAAATGCGCATTGTGGTCTGAGGTTGCGGGTTCAAAACTTCACACTCACGCGCAGGGACACCGGCGGGCGTTTACATAACACACGGACAATTTGCACACACCCCTTGGGCTGACGCATGGTAAGGATTACAGACACTGCCTGCGCACCACCCAAGGGTTTCGTCCATGGTTGTCGTATGCTGGGTCTAGGCTATGAGAGGTTTGCCTGACGTTCTTGGTCCATAGGATTGACGTTCTTGGTCCATAGGGTTGTCTGGGTGATTGGGGGGTTCAATACCTGATAAATGAAAGTTCAAGAATTGTGGCAATGCAGACAGGGTTGTGGGAGATTGATCACGTTGAATTGGTTACCTTAGGGCTCTGCTTTGGGGGGGGCATGGGCTATGTGTGGGATTCAATCGGGGAGTCAGCTGGGGGGAGGGTAGGCAGGACAAGACTCCGTTGGAGGATATCGGTGGGGAAACTGCAGTATGGGATGTCTTAGGGGTCCCATTGGTAGGAGTAGGCTCTGGTGAAGGATGTCATTGGGAAACCAGCCCTAGAGGCTGTCTCAAGGGGTGAGGGTGGTCTGCTACCTGCGTGAAGAACACAGTAAGATTAGAAAAGTCCAGAGTAGGTCTAGTTAATGATAGAGGTGGGAGAGCGGATGGTGGCCATCAACCCACTGAGGATAGAAACTAGAGATGCTCTGGGGGATGATAAAATGACTAGAGACCCAGTTGAGGATAGAGGTAAGGGGAGCGGATGGTGGCCGTGAGCCTGCCGAGGACAGAAACTGGAGATGCTCTAGGTAAGAACAACCTCCAATAGGAAAGGGTTCATAAACATAGAATTCAAGATAATAACCAGAGGGATCTGATGACAATAAGGCTCGGATCTCTCTAGCAAAGAGAAAAGGGTTCACCTGTGGGACATGTAGTAAAATGTCTACCCCTAGGGCTTGAAGTGAACGTACGACAGGGCTCGCCCGACTATGCTTCAATCAGGGCTGGGGAGGGAGGTGAGGACCTGCTTAACCCTGATGTCTATAACCACTGTCCAGTCAGGTCACTAGAAAAGGGTGATGATCCTGAGTGGTAAAAACCACTAAGGTAGGACCTTGGGAGTAGGGATGCGCGGGGGACAGTAATGATGAGTAAGGGTGGGAGGGAGTCTCATAGGGGGCCTGTATAGAAAAATCATCGGGATGATCAAATGGCCAACTGCTGAAGGGACTGTCATATGCCTACAGTCTTCCCCCGAACAAAACGCACGTATGTACTACTCAACTTTCCCTGGAAAAGTCCATTTCTCAAAGTCGGCCCCCGAAATCCAAATAGTACACACGTTGAAATAGTACGCATGTGTGTTCTATTTGAATAGTACGCACATATGTTCTATTCGAACAGACGG